CTCCTTCTCTTTTGCTCATTCGCCAGCGACCCACACTTCCAACCTATCCCACCCTACCACACACCCTCCTACCCCCCCAGATCCCTCCCTCCCTCCCACGCTCCCTCCCTCCCACGTTCTTCCACCTCTCCTCCAACTTCCTCCCTCACCACCCGCAATTCCGACAGTCGCCGGCAGCACAATCCAACCCCCCAGTGCTCTATGTGTCTGCGCACCGTCCGGCCTCGTCTCGCGCGTTGACTCCTATCCCACGTCCAGTAACGAATTCGAACGACCCATCCGTCTCTTGCCTGTTTTCCTCGTCGAACTATCGCTCGCTCGCTCGCCTGTCATCGCTCCCGTCGTCGTCGTAACGAAGAAGACCCCACTCCTCCGCGACCCGCCACCGCTGCCGCCGGCCTTCCGTCCCACCACCGTCGTCGACGACGCTCCACTCGTTTGATACCTTTGTCGATTTATTTTTCTTCATAATCGCGCCAGCGTTTACAGCATGTCAACGCTCCGTACTCAGTCCTCGTTCGTGCGTCCCCGTACCTCCGACAATCGCCCCGTTACGCGTGACGGCGACGGCAGCAATGCCCTCTCGATACCCAGCCGAACATCGTCGTTGCATAGTCGCATCACTGCACCGATTCCTGGATCGCTGAACATCAAGGTGCAGCCGAGAACCCCAAAGACCCTTACGCATGCCTACCTCGTGTGTGGTGTTGGCCGTGAGCCCTCGCAATGGGTGAAAGCCCCGACCCCGGCCCAAGGAAAGATATCCCACATGAAGGGTGCAATAAACCAATTCTGGTTGCCGGAAATCCTGGGAAGCTCCCCGAGACTCGAGCAAGATAATGATATGGCGCGTGCATTGCATGCTGCCATGAGAGTACGTTTTTCTCCCCTCACTCCCCTCAACCCCAAAAATAAAGAGCCGAATGGGAGTTTTGGGAATCTCCAACCGTTCCAGATGCAAGGGACAGTGCTAGGGACTGATTCATAGTAACGGGTTTTAGGCTTGTTTCCCACATGATGTCGAGATCTGCACTGGGCGAACACAGCCGCATTGTATTCACCACACGTTCGTGCTGCAGCAGGACTCGTCGCACACTCTGTATGGGATTGCGCTCAGAGTGTGGTCAAGGGCAGATGACAAACGGGCAGAGACAATCAGGGAGTTGAGGAAACGGAATGAGCCGGATTACTATGATTCCCCAGATGAGACTTACTGGATCCCATATGCGCTGAGCTTTCTGTCGCGGTATCCTCTGTTCAATCTGCTGGGTGACTATCTGAGAGGCATGTGGATTCATTGGAATAAGGCGACCAACTTGTTCCACGCAGAGTACGTCGCAATGATCCCCATGTGGTGTGTTTGTGTGATGGCTGACCAATCGGCAGGGAGGTCTCACGAATCTTGAGCTTTCCGGCGCCGAGGTTGAATGATCTCGTCCGGATCGATATGAAGGATTATGCGCTGTGCTACCAGTTTCCATCATCACCAACGGGGTTTCAAAATGTACTACATAACCCCTCCCTGACAAGTATAGATCTCGTTCAGTAGCTAATTTTGTTCAGTTTGCCATGTGGCCCCTCTTTTGCTGCCTGTCGATCCCTAACATTGTTGGCCTCATCGAGGCGGCTCTGTCCCCGACCCGAAGAATCATCTTCATGAGCCATTACCCGGCAATGTTGACGGTTGCTGCCGAGACGATCCGTTTCTGTGTGCGTGTTTTCGAATGGAGCGGTCTCTACGTCCCGATTGTCCATGCGAGACACGTGAGGGAGATGGTCCAGGAACCCGGCCCATACATTCTCGGTGTCACCGTCGAATGCCGAAGTCTTTTTGCTGCCCCATCAGACGCCCTCGTCGTTGACCTCGACCGCAACTTTGTGTTGACTTCCTCGCCTCCTACGGCGTTGAGCTCGAGCCAACGCAACAAGATGATCCAGCGGCTCACGGAGGCCCTTCACGGCGATATCCCTATTTCCGGTGTTCCCACTCATCTCCGGTCTGCGTATGGCGGTGGAAAGCTTGTCCCTGCGGGCCAAATCATCGTCATGCGCGGAGAGGTTGAGAGTGTTCAGGACCCAGAATGGTGGGATCAGGATGCAATCATGACGGTCATGGACCATGTATGTGAAAAGATGGGCCGCAACACTGGTATCCGAGCCATCTTTGGCGGCAGCGTCAAGAAGCCATTGATGACCAAGGTTTCTCTGCGACATCTTAACGAGATTGTGCGTGAGCGGAATCAGTACTCTAGGGATGCGATGGAGGCATGGCAGGATTACATCAATCTTAAGGGTCGGATGGATACCGAAATTCAAAAGGTTACCAAGCGCAACAACTTTCTTATGGAGGAGGTTGAGAGCTGGAAACAACAGGTGCGTGGTACACTCTTATTTGACCCAGTTATGCTGACTCGAAGAACAGTTTGAGAAATTCCAATCCTTTGCCGCGCAACTCACCAAGGAGGCGCAAGAACTCAAGGCCAAGATCGAGTCCCACAAGAAAGAAAACTCGCGTCTCTCCAAACTCATCGAGCAACAGAAAGCGGAATCCAACGTTCTTGCAGTCCGTCTCACAGGCACAGAAAAGCAACGCGACGACGCCCTCGAAGCACTCGTGATGCAGCAAGAAGTCGCCGAAGACCTCGAACGCGAACGTAAGAAGAACAAGAAGGAGCTCGCGGAGCTGGTCCGCCATAACCAACAGATCAGCCGGCAACGCGATGAAGCCCAGCGCGTCATCATCCACCTTCGCGCATTGATCCAAAGCCAGGCGCACCAAGTCGAGGGCCTGGTCCACTCCATCAATGATAGTAATTCAGAAAGTGAGGGATCCTCCTCTTCTTCCTCCTCTGCTTCTTCTACCTCTTCCTTCTTCTCTGCTTCCTCCTCTTTCTCTGCTTCTCCTTGTCATTCTTCTTCCTGCTCCGCAATCGACTCAGAAGACGAGAACACCCCACCAACAGCTAAAGTCCGGACAGTCACCCCGCTCGCTTCCCGCCGGGCCTCACGCACCTCCTCCCGCTGCTCCTCCCGCACCGCATCCCGCGCCTCCACCATCGACCACCCAACCACCACTTCTGAAGACTCCCCGACAACAACCGATCCCCCCACCCCTTCCGAACGCTCCATCTACTCCCCCGCCAAGTTCCGCCGCTTTTCCGGCATGAGCGTCTCCGACATCAAAGACCGCGACCTGAAAGAAAAAACTGACGCGATCGCTGAGATCATCCGCTCGATTTCTGACCAATGCGCCGCCGCCGTTGAAGGCCTCCACATGTCGCAAGTCGCTGCTCTTGAAGAAGACGCCGCTGCCGCCGCCAACCAGTCCTCCTCATCCGACGACGAGGACGATACCCCGAGAACACGCAATCGCGAGTCAACACACCGCCGATACGAGAGTCAGGACTCATCTTCCTCGACGCTTTTGTCCCCCGATGGGAGATCGTCAGTCCCGCCGACACCGGAGCTGGTGCATCGTGCGAGTACGGCGCTGAGTATGGCGAGTACGGTGACGCCGGAAAGGCATTCGTTGAGTAGTGGATATGGCGATGTGGATGTGCCGACGAAGATTGTGGAGGCGGAGGATGGCGATGAGGCGCAGGAGGAACAGGCAAGGTTGGGGGGGTTGGGGAAGGGGGTTAAGTTGAGGGGGGAGGTGGAGAGGGTGAGGATGAGGGCGAGGGGGTTGGGGTTGGCATGAGTGTGTTAGGGCTGGGGGATTGTGAGGGGTCGTGGGCCGATGTTGCGGAGAAGGGAGAAGGGAAGGAAGGTAGAGGGGCAAGATACATTAGATGATGGATGGATGAAAGATGTTACCGCTATACCACTATATTCCCGCTGTGCTGGTGCTGGTGGTAGGTTGGTAGGTTAGTGGGTTTAGTAGGTAGGGGTATGCAAACGGTTCCAATGAGCCGGTATTAGTTATTAGTTAGTATATGTGTGCTGGGCGTCTTTTTCTTCTTTTTTTCTTCCTGTTTTTCATCCGCTTCTTATTATACCTCTTCTTCTCTGTTTTCTTTCTGTTTTTCACTTTATACCTCTTCTTTTTGTCGTTTTCCTGTTTTCCTGGTTTTTTTTTTTTTTTTTTTTTTTTTTTTTCGCTTTTTTTTTTTTTTTTTTTTTTTTTTTTTTTTTTTTTTTTTTTTTTTTTTTTTTTTTCTTCGCTAGGTTTATATCCCCAACCCCACCATGCTGGAGGTACGCCCTGGGTGGATCGGCACTCCGTTTCTTCTATCTTCTATCTTCGTTTCTATACCTATATCATCTCTCCATCCACCGTATCTATCTCTATCTCTATCTCTAACCGTCGTCAGTCCATCGATACTTCCCTGTTTCCTTTGCCTCCTTGCTTTCTTGTTTTTTTTTATCCCTTTTTTTCTTTTTCTTTGTTTTTAGTTGCTTGTTCTCAATGTCTCCTTGTGAATTCAATCCCAAAGTACTTATGTTAGATACCACCGGTTGGCTTGGTTGGTCGCTTGGTGTAGGCTATTCAATTGACGCTGTTCAAAGTTGTATTATGCTCTACCGTACTGTACCGGGATTCGAACCTGTTTTGTTTTGTTTTGTTTTGTTTTGTTTTATTGCAGCGAGTGCGTTTATTCGGCTGACCTTCACTCCACTACGCAATGGATGACCGTGGCGGGAAAGAAGTACGCTTGCTCGAAGCACTCCCTCCGATGGACCGTGACGCCGCCCCCCACCCCAGCACAGCAGGGAAAGTTTCGGCTTTTAAACGACTCGGATCCCGCCAGTGCCGTGCGTTGATGATGATGATAATGCGGAGTTATGAAGCAGTGGATGTGGACAGTGAATTGTTTGCTCAACTCTGTCAAACTGGGATGACTCCTAGTATCTACACAACAATCATGACCATGATCATGTAGACTGAGTGGCATGGAAATCGCTGCATCTACTTTACACGAAAAAGAAAGGGGACAGGATTCCACCTACTACGCATGTGAGAAAAGTTATAAAAAGGAGTTATAAAAAAAAAGACCTTTTTCCGTAACGGGGAATTGAACCCCGGTCTTGCCGGTACACTTTTCATAGTTGCTCTGCTAATGAGAGCGGCAGATGCTAGCCACTACACCATTACGGATAGATTTGTTGTAGTGTCTGTGCTTTTGGAACATGTGAGTGATTATACGTGAGGTCGAGTTTAACAAGGTAGAAACAGGAGAGCCGAAGCACGCATCAAGCGTGCAGCTCAAATGGCGGCCACTACAAAGGTAGCAAGGCCGGCGAGAAAAGGGTTGAAAGCGGATGAAACAGAGTTTTTTTGAGTAGATGCTGTATAACACTGCGGAAAGGGGACGTTTTTGTATGCTAGTTCTCGCGCCATATCCCAAAGGGACGCATGCGCTTAAATGATTACAATCAATCAATCAATCAATCGAGTTTAACAAATTAGCCCACATCAGCCGGCTGACCAACGAAGCCAGACATCTAGAAGAGAAGCAGTGGTTTGGGGAGAAGTGCCAAAAGTACTATCCCCAGCGGTACAAGCTCAGGAAGTCCACCAAGGTAGACCCAACAGCGGCAAAAGCTCGGAAAAAAGTCGCTCTCCAATACTACAGGTTCGCGGCAGACCGCGCAGTCACAGCGGTCTACTTAAAATCGATAGGAAAAAGAGACAGCGACGAATGCTGGTGGTGCGATGGACCCCGTCAGACCCGCGACCACCTGTTCAAGGAGTGTAGAACATGCAGAAGGGAGCAAGAGGGGCTCTGGAACACGCTGAGGAAAGAAGGGTTTATGAAGACGCACGCGTTGTCGACAATCTTCGCGGAACCCAGGGTCACTCAGGCGATCCTAAAGTTCATCGAAGAAACGCTGGTGGGAAGACCAAAATCAGAGGACGAGGACAGAGCCGAAGAAGAGCGGGTACATGAGGAATGGGAGTGGGAGAAAGAGTATGGAGTGGAGGAGGATATGAGCACATAGTAAAGCAAGAGAAGAAAAGCCGGTGGGTATAGTAGAGTCTAAGTACACCGCAGTTTACCGCAGTGTACAGCTCAAAAGGCGGCCACTGCAAAGGCAGCAAGGCCGGCGAGAAAATGGTTGAAAATGGATGAAACAGAGTTTTTGAGTAGATGCAGTATAACACTGCGGAAAGGGGACGTTTGTATGTTAGTTCTCGCGCCATATCCCAAAGGGACGCATGCGCTAAAATGATATCAGTCAATCAATCAATCAATCAATCAATCAATCGAGTCTAACTGAGATGGTCATCGACGGAAACCGAGAGAGGAGAGAAAAGGGCCCAGTTGCATGAACTGGAGCTCAACTCAAATGGCATCCCCCACAAATGCGACGGGATGGCGAGAACAAGGGTTGAAAGTCGACGAATCAATGCATCTGGAAAAGAGAAGGAAATGAATCAACGGGGAGGGGGTGGGGAAGATGAGTGTATGTAGTTGGTCGCGCCATATCCCAACGGGACGCATGCGCTAAAAAGAATTCAATCAATCAATCAATCAATCGAGTCTAACTGATTCATTGTTCACGGTCTTTTATTGGCCATACATACAAGATGGGTTGGTATCCTGTGGTTCAACATCCACCCTCCCCCCAACGCCGGATCTCAACTTAACTCAACTTTCCATATCATATCTAGCTCCAACTCTCGATTTTAACTTCCACTCCACTCCACTCTACTCAGAGCCAATCAGGAACAATTAACAAACTAACATCCACCACTTGTTCTACTCTCTCCCTCACTCCGAGACCGAGCCCTCTCGCTCAACATTTTTCGCTCGAAAGCTCTTCCTCTGTACAACTCTCTCGCTCTCCGATTCCCTCAGATTCGGGAATTTGACACCGATTGACAAGGACGCGGCGACAACCGCTGTGAATACTGTGAAGAGGAAACACCATTTTAGGCTTGCTTCATAGGCCGCGATGACTACTCTTAATTAGCTCCATGCACGTATAAAAAAAGGAAGAGAAAATGCGGATAATTCACCTTGCTGTTGATGCACTTTATCCAGCTGCAAGATCGCGGTAACACTACTCCGCACCTTCTTTATAACCTCCTCCTTTCCTTCACCAGTCACGTACTGGTGTAAATACCGCACCAACGAATTCTGCAGAATCAGCCCGCTCGACGCAATCCCAATAACGCTTCCCAAGGCTCTTAGCATAAACGCATTACTCGTGGCGACGGGATGGTCCTCTGTCCACGTCAGCCCCAGCACCGCAATCAACTGACTCGGCAAAAACGCCCCCAGCCCCATATTCGCCGGTATCAGTGTGACGGTGTAAACCCAGCTCCTTGCGTCCTTATTCAGAAAACAAAACACAACCGCACCAGCAATCACCATCCCGTTGCCGAAATAATAGGTATACGACATTTTCCCTAGGCGGGTTACGAGGAGACCCGTGATGGTGGAGCCGACGGTGGAGGCGATGGAGGGGATTAGCAAGCGTGAACCGGCTTTGGTTGCAGATTCGAGGAGAACGGATTGGAAGTAGAGCGGGAGGTTGAAGATGATGGAGTTGACGGTGAGCATGGTGAAGAAGCCGGCGAAGATGAGGTTGCCTTGCGGGTTGCGGAAGATGAGGTCGGGGGGGAGGACGGGGGCGGTGGCACTTTTTTCAGCGCGATAGAGCAGGAGGGCGAGGATTATAGATAGGATGAGGGGCGTGAGGACTCGCGGGTCGCTCCAGGGGAAGAGGTTGCCGCCGAGAGACATGGCGAGGATAAGGGTGCCAACGGAGGTGACCTGGAATGGCGTGAGCGGTGGGGATGAGGGTCGGGGTGGGAGAAATGGATGGGCTTACGAGGAAGAAGGAGCCCGCCCAGTCAAAGTCGGCGAAACGCTCCCAGAGGGTCATTTTTTCGATGGAGTAGTGGGTTGGGAATGGTGGAATTACACAGGCTCCGACAATCATGACGAAAATGCCGAATGGGACTTGGAGCCCGAATTCCCATCTGTCATCCCTTAGTTTCTGGTTTGAAGACTCGGTGGAAATATACGTACCTCCAGCCAAAAGTGTCTGCTAGGAATCCTCCCAATCCTGCTCCTAGGACACTGCCGGCTCCAAACGCGAGATTATTCAAACTTTGATAGCCAGCACGGATCTCAATAGGAATAAGATCACTCAACACAATGGAGCCTGTGTTGAAACGTCAGCAATAACACCGACAGAGGCTCAAATGCACCATACCCATAATCAGCATTCCTCCAGCACCAAGTCCACACACTGCGCGCGCCGCTGTAAAGCTCCAAAAGCTCTGAGCAAGTGCGCACCAAACAGTCGCAAGCGTGAAAATAAGTGCCGATGTCACGAATGGTACTCTTCTCCCCAACACATCGCTCAATCGGCCGAAAAGTGGCTGGAAACTAGTCGACGTGAGGAGGAAAGAGGTTGATAGCCATGATGCAAGCTCTGAAGAGTGAAATGCGGATGTAATCGATGTGTGTGTAGATGACATGATGGTCGAATCGAACGCGCCGACCTAATAGAAACGGTTAACTCGAATTCGCATATGATGTGAGTGCCGCCATACAAAGTTTCCGAGTATAACAGCTGGATCTATGTTAGAGATTGCCTCTCATGGGAGTTTATGTAGACTTACAAGCAAAAATAATCCAGAACCGCGGCCCCGACACCCTAGTGACAACTGTATGCGGAAGTAATGGGTCCTCTTCATCCGCATCTTTTCCGTTCAAGTATTCTTCATTGTTTAGTAGCCAATATTTTGGATCATCCTCAACTGTTGATATATTAGGCAGCACCTCCGCCTCTGGACCTAATGGTGTGACGTTGCTGTTTGCTCTTGATAGGAATGACTGAAGTTCATCGCGCTCCTCTACAGTCGTGATCGAAGATGCGTCCGAGCTCTCAGAAGGTCTCTTTCCATTGCTAGAACTTGAATCTGCCGATGGTGAAGTCACAAGTAGTGAGGTATTCTCGTTCGTACGTTCGGAAGATTTTGCGGTGTCGTCGTGGCGGCGACCAGGTAACGGACTTGACATTGTACGAACAGCGATCTCGATTCCAACAACAACCAGGGCCTCGAAAAACTTCTCTCTCAACCTTAAATCCCGATATCTGCCTCTCAGGCGGTTCCGTTCGAGGTAGTCGTAGAAAAAAGGCGGCTGCGATGACTTCACATCCGCGGAGGAAGATGACGGAGCAGAACGGGATTGTCAAAAATCATGTCTCTAAGTTTAGGGGATACGCGGTCCAAGTATTGAGCTTGTGGTCCGTCCCAGCAACCGATCCCGAAACAGATTTTGAGTCAACTGACGTGCTCCCGAACGCAGCTAGCTGAGGGCTGCATCCTGGGCTGAGGGACGGAAGTCACCATCGATTGTAGTCATCGCAAATAGACACCGACGTCTGGTCGTATGGGATTGAGTATTGGACTGTAGAGTTTGTCAGAAAAAGGATCCTGAGAACGATCGTGATGACGCCTGAACAAGTTACCGCGTTGTACGGGAGCCGTGTCACTGGAAAACCGTTCAAGGTCGAGCTGGCTTCGAGTCCAAGTTTGCCATCACGATAGTCAGGTCGGCTGTCTAGTCTGGTCTGTAAGATCGCTTGGTGAATGCAGGGCGTGCATAGGCGCAGGGGTTGTCTAGCTCATTATCGGGGTTAAGTTGGTGGTGGGATATGGATGGTGGTGTCCATGGGATTGCGTGCTGGGCGTCAGATACCTCGACGTCGAGTCTCAACGCGCTGGACACCATGAAAGATCTAGACGCCACAAGCTCTCTACTCCCAAGCGTTTTCCTTTCCTTCAATGAGGTGAAAATAGATCCGTTGGACGTCCTGTGCATCGGGATATCAGTAGGTTATTGTGCAATATAAAACTAACCATGATACTCGTATGGAAATACAGTAGATTCCCTACACTGATCTCCGATGCAAATTGCGCCATGAGGGACGCCCATCTATTAGATTTCCTGGGTAACATGTCCATCTGTCCCCAAAATGCCATTCTTCTGAAACCTCCGTGAAATTTGATGCTGTTTTCGAACAACAGTGTTTAAATGTTCAGGTGGAACAAGTGACGGCAGATGTTTAAGAAATACGTCTAGTGCTCGTCATTCATGTCCTACCATTTACTAGATAACTTGGATTTATAGT